TTTTTATTTATATTCATCAGCTAATAAACCAGAATATCTTTTTTTGTATCTGTTTGGTCTCTTGAAAAAAGTATAATATTAAGTTAATAATCAAAGACCTATTTATTTCAAACAGATTTTCCAAACAAATTCCACCATGAACATCTCAAATTTCTTCGTTATCATCAGTGGTGTTGCAAAATTTATTAGTAAATTGGACTAATACTGTTGCAAATTTTGATATATGGGATAAGAAATGCAGAATTCAATTGAGAATGAACAAAATTAGTGAGGGTGAATTAAATAAACAGAGAAGCGAAGTATATATACATATATATGTTTGCATTACTAAATTATTTATATTATGTGTATAAAGGTTTAACTCCATACATTTATTTTCAAAGTTACTTGTTCCAGGTCAAAAACTCATTCCAACGCATAAAGATTATAAAGATTCGTTGATTCCAATATTATTAATTCAACGAGATAAATTTCCATGTCAATCGGAAATTTTGGTAAATTCTATTGATAATCTGGCAATTACATCCATTACTATACAATAACTAAAAATTCTTTTGTCACAGATCCCCCAAATGATGTCCGAGTTCCAAGCAATTTCACTGTTCCGGCCGGAAATGTTTATAAATTTAAGCTATATACTGGTTTCTCTTGTACATATGCAATTATACTAAGTGGGATTTGGTAAGTACATATGTACTTATTTTGATTAGGGATTGGAACCGCGAAAAATTATTGTGGTGGTTAATCGCGTCGCTTAATTACCGTTTAACCGTAATCGTATAGCCGTATATTTAATCGTTTAATCATTTAAATGCAATCGTTAGGAACTGGAAATTAGCATCAATTCAGAATATAAAATTTTTATACTGTAACATAACGATAAATAGTTCTTAATAAAATAGTATATATGAGTACCACCAAATTAAAACCAGGAAGTAAATATTTAAGTTTTCATTGTGACGAACTTAGCACTGAGAAATTAAAATATAGCATAATTGAATCACAATACAATCAGTTCACCACAGTAAAAACTTGAATATTCGCATCAATTTTAATTTGGCATCACTCATAATTATGCTGCTTAATCGTTTGATCGTTGTTCAATTTCCCAAAATCCACTTTTCCGAAATACCATTTCTCTGATCACATAATACCAACAGCCCATTTCACCGATAGAAGTTTTCATCTTTCCTGATCAAACTAATTTTCTGAAAACTCAATTCCTCAACATGAAATATCTAATAATAGACCATTGCTTTTTAGTTTGGAGAAATGGTTTCAGATAACTTATTTGATAGGAAATTTGTAATCGATTAAATGATATTTCGGAAAAATGAGATACCAAAATTTATGTCTTGTCAATAAAATGGATTATCAATATGATGGCTTCGGTAAAATGGCTTTTCAGCATATATCCACGTGAGGTATTAAACGATTATTAAACGATTAATCGTATAAAAACAGTTAAGTGAATAGTTTAACGGTTTTAATCATTTATAAAATTTCTTACTCGTTTAACCGTATAACATATAAACTGTTAAAGGCGATTAAACGAATAACGGTTCCAATCACTAATTTTGATATACTTATTTTGATATGTAAGTACTTACAATGTTATGTGATTATTAGATCGACCTCTCAACGTATATTTTAACCACAAAGAAGATATCGACCTCTATCCTGTGGGTTTAGTAGAACGCAGAGGCATGTAATAATTAAATAAAATAATGTATTTTACAATTTTGAACCAATTAAAGACCAAATTCTTGTCGAATTTTAATCATAATTCTTTCATTTTCATAACAATTTAGACCAAAATATTTATATTAGAACAGCTATTCCAAACTATGATAATTCAGCAATGACCGTAAAACTATTAGTACTGAATCTTCATCTGATCCATCAAACGATTTTAATTCTGAATTTATTTTAGTTACAGTAATTATTATCATTCTATTACACTTATTATTACATTT